AGTACTAGTACTCGTACGTACTACTACTACTACTACTACTACTACTACTACTACCACTGGGACTGCTACTGCTGCTGCCGCTACTCCTACTGCCACTGCTGCTCGAACTGCTACTAATACCTGTACCATCCACCTTTCCCGACACCACCGGAAGCAGCTACTGCCAGTACGAAGACGATCGCAACCACTGCAATGACACAATGAAAAATGAGGTGACAATGGCTGTCATGCACGTAGTTCATGTAATTACTGTTGAGCTGCCATGGTTGCTGCTATTCTTTCACCAGTCGCGAAGATGGGGAAACCGCTGAGACTGGAGCGTCGCTGCTGCCATGTTGCATTTGCTTCATGATGGCAATGTCCTGCGCTTGTTGTTCTCTCTCATGCCCCTCATTGCTACTACTAGTTCCGGCTGCTCCCGTAGAGCTGCGACTGGCCACTGGAAGGACTTGCCATTTGCGGCTACTCCGTTACTAAGACATGCGAAGCATACTCGATTCCTTACCGGGCGGCCTGCCTAGACCATAAACCCTAAGCGCCCGGATCTTCCCAGCTTGTGTATGCATTGCATCTTGCCATCATCGTTGTCAGCATAACTGCCACCAATGTCGTCATCGTCATCATCGTGTTCATCATTCTCCGCATCGCTGCAACCAACCTAAAGCAGGAGGCGAGTCGAGGGGACTTGGTAAACCGTGTAAAATGGCACCTGGCAGGTGCACAACTTCAAGAAAGGGCTATCTCAGAGTTGGGGAAGGCACATTCACGTGCGTCCTTGCAGGATAGCATCGTCCAGGACGCTGTTCTTCATCGTGTAGCTCTACACACAGACTGAGCCGAGTTATCATGACGCGTGGGCTGAGACCGACACCCCGAACCCATGTTGACTTACTTGTAGGGCTCAGACGGGGTCCTTGAGTGCAGAATGAGTTTCGATACCCAGCTTCACCGTGAAACAAGGCAAAACAGACAAGTCAAAAGGGTGCCACATGACGGTGTAATTCCGGCTTGTGCACAAGGTGCTGCCAGTAGTGTGTAATGCAGCAATGCTGTATGTCGCAATTCTCGCTGCTCAATGGGGCTATCGGCCCGGGCCGGGCAGGCACGTGTTTCATGTTTTTGATTGTCGTTTATATGGTTTGCGAGCCCACGCACCTCCTACGGTTATGTCGTCTAAATGGCCGTGTCAGAGATGCCGCTACGCAATTACCTCCTCGAGCGTTTGCGCCATGGAAGGAAGGAAGGAAGGAAGGAAGGAAGGAAGGAAGGAAGGAAGGAAGGAAGGAAGGAGCAGTAGCATCAGTAGGAGCAATACCAGTAGCCATAGCGGTAGCAGTGGCAGTATTCGTCGTAGTGGTAGTAGCAGTGATTGCATTACTAGTAGTAGTAGTAGTAGTGGTGGTGGTAGTAGTAGTAGTAGTAGTAGTCGTAGTAGGAGTAGCAGTAGCAGTAGCAGTAGCAGTTTCAGTAGCAGTGGCAAAGACGCGGTAGCAGTAGCAGCTAAATAGCAGGGGCAGGCAGCAGCAGCAGCAGTAGCAGTGGCAGTAGCAGTGGCAGTGGCGGTAGCAGAAGTTAAGTAGTAGTAGTCGTCGTAGTAGTAACGCAGGAGTAGGAGTAGGAAGGAGCAGGAGTTTGAGCTGTTTGTCCTGTTGTCGTGCAGGTGTCGTGGCTGTAGTAGTAACTGTCCGCAGCCGAAAACGACTGCTGCTGATTGTGGAGCCGGATGTTCGCGGCAAGCGCTAGAGAAATGAAATCGTCTCGAGTCCGTTGCTGCATGCAGTGCTCTGGTGACCAAGCACAGGTGAGAAGTAGGGCCCGGCCCCTAAGCCTGAGACCAGATGCCTTTTTTCCTGCATCTCAATATTCCTGTGGCAGCCAGCAGAACTTCAGCAGAAGCAGTTTCATGTGTGCAGGAGTATGGGAGACTGAGGGGTGAGAGCAGTTCATCCTCAGACTTAAGGCTTCAGTGCAGTCCATGATCTTGCTGTGTTCAGAATCAACGTTGCCATGGCCTGGCATTATCCCGCTCCTCCTCCTCCTCCTACTCCTCCTCCTCACCATCATCATCCTCCTCATCATCATCATCATCACCATCGTCACCATCATCATCATCAGCACCATCATCATCATCATCATCATCATCGCGACCATCATCATCATCATCATCATCATCATCATCATCACTGTCATCATCATCAGCACCATCACCATCATCATCATCATCATCATCGCGACCATCATCATCATCATCATCATCATCATCACTGTCATCGTCATCATCATCATCACCATCATCATCATCATCATCATCATCTTCATCGTCGTCGTCATCGTCGTAATGATCATGATCATGATCATGACCATGTTCATGATGATGATGGTGATGATGATGATGATGATGATGATGATGATGATGATGCTCATCATCGTCACCATCACCATCGCCATCATCATCATCATCGTCATCATCATCATCATGGTCATCATGAACGTCATGATCACCATGGTCGTCGTCATCATCATCATCATCATCAGCATCAGCATCATCATGATCATCACCACATCACCAGCACCACCATCACAATCATCAGCGTCATTATATTCATCATCGTGCTCGTGCCACTCCTACTCGTGCTGGTCGTGGTGGTCCTCGTCTTCGTGCTCCATCACTCACGCTGATGATGATTCTTCATTTTCCTTGTCCTTGTGTTAATCGATTTTTTTTATCAGGGTAAATTTGGTCATCATGGCCAGTGTCGTCATCACCAGCAACAGTAGCAGCATGGTCCTTAGCCTTCAAGCCTTCGACACTTCACCCCAGCTTCCTCCGCCTCGTGTGATAAACGCTGTATCCCGAGCCGCCAGTAGCAGCGAGAGAGTCAAGATGACAACTCCAACGGCCCAGTACTCCAAAACCCAAACTGTGAACAATGTAGAAGCTTGAATATTTACCAACATATTATTCCTTAGGGTTCCCTTTTGGTGCTAATGATTACTACACTAGAATATACCCCAAAACCAAACTCTCATTGTTAAGTCTCCTACATTAGAGCTGGACAGCGCCCAGATCGGCCGCAAGACGGAGGACGGGCCATTCGGAGCCGAGAAACGACAGCTCAAGGACGGCTCAGGGTGTACGGGCTTGAGGGTTTAGGGTCGTGGCTGAATTTCTGAATGTAGGGAGTGGGGTACAGGCTTTTGTGTCCTCGCGGCGTCCTCGCGTTTCGGATTGAGAGTACGGGCTTGTGCATCCTGCTGTTTCCTGTGGCTCACGGAATGGATCCAGGGCTTTTTGTGGTTTCCAGTTTGATGATGTTTAGGTTTCATGTAGCTTTGCCAGCAATCTCGAGGCGAACCCTGGGACCGGGATGATGACATCATCCGGCTTATAGAATGCCTATCCCAAGCTTTCGGCTTCGCTTCTGCCCGAAGTGCTAAGCTGGGATCCTCAAGGCGCCTGCAGCCACAAAGCAAGCATCAACTTTTCTTGCGGACGTCTTCGTTCCTGCCTGCCGTCCTGCCCCAGCAGAGAATCTTAGGCCACAGATCCGAAACTCTAGATCTCTGAACCATCCTGAAACTTTAAACTCTGAAACCCTGCCTGAACACTGGGAATGCTCTTCTTGGAGGTTCATGGGTAGTTATAAGTGGGGTTATAAGTCCCCTAATATGGGTTATAATTATAGTTACCCTACTTATAACGCTACTTAGAACTACCCATGAACCTCCAAGTATGCCCAACAGCCAGGCTGAGGTGGATCAGCTTCAAGCGAACCTGAACGAGCTCAATGAGATGCTTGGCCCAAGTACAGGCTTTGTTTCTCGAGCTTATGAGCTCCCTAAACCCTGGAACCCTCAGCCGCAAGCTCTAAACCCTAGAACCCTGAACCGTAGAACCCGAAACCCTAAACCCTAAACCCTCCCTACTGCCTAAGCCTCTATACGCTCCTACTCATCATCCACGCCTCATTTGTCAAGCTGCCCCTTTTTCAGCCTTACAGGAAGCCTTGTTGCACCGAAAGGAGCCCATTACAGGACCCTGATAGACACCCTTGGGTAGTTCTCTAAATCAGGGTCCCTTTTTGGGTCCCCAAGATAGCACGGCACCCTTATGAAAGGGACCCCAAAAAGGGACGGTAATTTAGAGAAGTAGCCACTTGGCAACAACTTAAACCTGAAGCCCCTAAACCCTAAACCCTAAACCCTAAACCCTAAACCCTGAAGCCTAAACCCCAAACCCTAAACCCCAGGATGAAGAACTCCCTCGCGGAGCCCACGGAAGCTGCGGAGGCGCCCCAATTGTGCTGTTCTTGTGGGGGTTTCCAAAAAATAGGGTACCCTAATATAGTACCCTATAGTAGGTTCCTTATTATAAGGACCCCAAAGTAAGGTACCCTAATATAGTACCCTATATAGTAGGTTCCTTATTATAAGGACCCCAAAGTAAGGTACCCTAATTTTCGGAAAGCTTGTTGGTCCGACTTTACCTTACTTGAAGGTTTTTAGGGGTTTGGGCTCCTTTAAGGGATCTATAAGGGGTCCTATAAGGGTCTATAAGGGGTCATACTTGGAGGTTCATGGGTAGTTATAAGTGGGGTTATAAGTCCCCTAATAGGGGTTATAATTATAGTTACCCTACCTATAACCCTACTTATAACTACCCATGAACCTCTAAGTATGTGTCGTCAGAACAGGGTTTCTGGCACGAGCATGCCGTTAGGAACTCTAAGGCGATTTTAATTTTAGCACTGCAGCGCCGGCTGCAACAGGCCGGCCACATCTACCGTAGAAACGACCCAAGGGCCCTGTGCCCTATACCAGCTCCCAGCAGCTTCTGCCGGTGATACCATTGTGTTAGAGTAGCTGCACTCGTCTTCTTCTGCTTCTTCTTCGTCCAACTTGTTAGTTCTGAGAGTAACTTCGGTGGTGGAGCAGGAGGTAGTAGCAGCAGCAGAAAGAGGAGTCGTAAGTCCGATAGCGGTGGCAGAGCGGCCTTAAAGAGCGCAGGAGCGTGTGGCGAAGCTGCGGCATCTCATTGAGGAGACCCAGCCGCTCCTGGCCAAGAAGGCGCCCCTCACGAGTCCCTCACGCACCTCTCTTCCCAAAAGCCCAAGAAGACTTCTTAGCTCCATCGAAGTGAGAGGAACTTCATTTCGGGCGCTTTCGTTTTTTGTTTATGAGAGTCAAGCTGTCCGATTTTTTAGCTTCGAAGCCTTCGGATTGTCTTGGAGTTTCCTCCTCGAGCTTTCGCGATTCAGTTTTCGGATCTGAGAGCTTTGCCTTCGAGGGTGGATTATGCTGAGGTGCAAGCTCGGGTATAGCTTAAACTTTGAGAGGCCAAGAACTGGCCCATGCGCCATGCCCCAAAAAGCCCCAAACTTCCAGGCGATGCTAGACCCTAAGCCCCGAACCCCGAAGCCCTCAACCCCAAACCCCAAACCCTAAGCCCTAAACCCCAAACCTCATCCCTCAAAAACACACGACGAGACAGAAGCCCACAGGAGCAGCTCCGTCGCGAGCAAGCCCGGGTCGCGGAAGAGAACGAAGACCTGGAGAAGGATGGCGGCCAAAACATAGACTTCTGGACTTTTGGGTAGTTCTCCAAATCAGGGTCCCTTTTTGAGTCCCCCAAGTAGTACGACACCGTCGTAAAAATGACCCTACATGGGACCCTGGTGTAGAGAACTTTCCTTTTGGGCGGGATATCCTTACTTGTTGGGCTTACTTAACATCCCAACCTTATGGGTTGCGTTTTGGTGTTTGTTCGGGTCCTCAGTTTAGCAATTATACACTATTCCTTGGGGCTCCTTGCAGTGGTCCTATAAAGGTTCTCGAACAATATACGGTTTCAGGATTCAGGGCTCACTATAGAGAGTGCGAGCCAATACTCTTCGAGAAGCATACGATGAACCCCAGAACCCTGTTCTAATTGTTAGGGCGGCCCAAAATTAGGGTGCAGGGTCTACTAGAGGGGCCTTAGTAATTAGACAGGGCTTTGGGGGATTCCTTATTACAATGGTAGTATCATATACCCCAGAGCCCTAATTCTAATGGGGATTCCTTATTATAATGGTAGTATCATATACCCCAGAGCCCTAATTCTAATTATTAAGGCCCTCATATATTAGGGTTTAAGGTTGCGGTGTTAGGGCTTCAGAGCCCAGAAGCTCTTGGAGCTGATCAGCAAACGTCCTCCGCTTCTTCGGCTTCGGGTTTTCGGATTCGAGCTGGAAGTAAACCCTAAACCCTAAACCCTAAACCCTAAACCCTACTCCAGGAGCGAGCTTTTTGCGAGTTTCCTGTTCTGTTCTTCAAGGTGTTCCCTGTTCTTTGCATGCCTTGTGTCCTAAACTCGGCAGCGGCTAGGACAGGCGAAGCTTAGTCGGTCGGGAAGATTCTCGGAGGCTCGGTTCAAGCCTACTTGGAGGTTCATGGGAAGTTATAAGTGGGATTATAAGTCCCTAATATGGGTCACAATTATAGCTACCCTACTTACAACCCCACTCATAACTACCCATGAACCTCCAAGTAGAAGCCTTGCGCCCACATTGCGAATAGATGGGAGAAGCCTCTGCGCTCCCCGACCTTGTATACACCTGTACCGCACCCAAGGCCCTAAACCAACAAGCTCTAGACCCCAAACCCCAAGCCTTAAATCCCTAAACTCCTAAACCCCTAAACCCCAAACCTTAAACCCCTAAACCCTAAACCCCAAACCTTAAACCCCTAAGCCCTAAACCCCAAACCTTAAACCCCGAACCCGAACCCGGAGCTCTAAGCCAGAGAAAGCCAGGAAATCGAGCCAGGGCCCCAGTTGGGGCCTAGAGCTTGGTTTGCAGCCTCGAGCTCCGAGTGCTGAGGGTCTTTCTTCAGCTACCTACTATAGGAGTCGGAAGACTTTTAAACGAACAACATCTTGTACTTGATTTACGGGTCGGAAGCACTAGGTAGTATACTAGTATCCCCTGCAAGTCCATGGTGCACGGCGGGGAAAACTACCCCCACAACCCTCAGGTCAATTTATTGCTGTAGACCTCAGGTTTCCACTGTCCACGGGTCAGGTCTCAGGCTACTTTCTTGGTGGAGCGTGGTTAGGGGCTGAAGGTTTGGGATGTAGGCTGTAGGGTTAGGAGTTGATGCTTTGGCGGCTCAGGCGTCGGGGGTCGTCGGTCGAAGTCGGTCGACATAGACAGTTCGGTTTGCTCTGCGTTCCTGGGTGCTTGGGCCTAACAATCCTGACATTTCGAGGCTGTCACCGTGGCTTCCCGGTGAGGTCTAGAGTAGGATGTCATCTGCTCCTTGGATCTTGCCCTGTCTTGCTGTTGCTGTTACGTGTGTGGCTGCTGTTGGGGCTTGACCAAAGTGCAGAGAACATTGCACCAAAGTACGGAGAACATTGCATGTCAACAGCTACATTGTCCAGCTTGCGTCAGTGATGGCGACGTTCAGCCTTTGTAAGAGCCTGTCAGGCAATGAGGCTGGGCAGAGGACGCATCCCATTCATCCAACAGCTGGACATCTGTGCTGGTGTCGGATGGTGATGCTACGATCTTGGTGGTGATGGTTTCTTCCAGTTTTGGACGATGGCCCTGACCACGAGAATGACGCAGCAGATAGGAAGCAGTGGCAGATTACCCCAGCAGTGGTGGCAGTAGCAGTGTGCCTCTTCGTAGCAAAAGTCCAGGCAACAGTTGCAGAACCAACACCAGCAGTAACAACTACGAGTGAAGTACAAGTGAGGCTAATAGCTGCAGCTACACCAAAAACTCCCTAAAAAAGCACACCAATTTTTGGCAAGGGAGCTGCAGCAGCAGCGTGCCAAGAAGGAGAAGCGGCCCAGCGTGAAACCGCAGCTTGACTTGACTTGCTTTTGAAGTTGCTTTTTTGGTCTGTAGGGTGTTAGGCCATCGGTTCATCCGAACTCCGACATGTAGGCGTGGCCCCCGTAAGCATTTTCCAAGCCTTGGACCGGAGGCGCCAGTCGGTGGCCCTGCCGAATCCGAAGCGCAAGGTGTCGCAGCGACCGGCGAGCTTGCTGCCTCCGGTGAAGCCGTCAGCTTAAAGTTCGGTTTCAAAACCGCTGAGATGAAGCCCGAAGCAGCCCGAAGCAATGAACCGAAAGGTAGTCTTCGGAATGTCTTGGGGCCCTGCAGGTTGAAAACCTGGAGCCGTTTTCCGTGTCTCACCCCGACCGCCCGGTGTAGGCAAAGATGGAGATCAGGTCTCCAGGGCTTTGGGTTCAAGGGGCCAGCTTTCGTACTTCGGCTACTTCAGGCGGTAGCGGGCTTTGACTGTGGCTTGCTTCGCTGTACACCCGAACTCACTTCAAAGCTTCGGTCCCTTAGCCACGGGCAGTTTAGAAAAGGATCCTACTTGGGGTTTGTATTGGGGTCCCCCATTCTCGAGGCGACACGTGAACTTGTGGCTGCGGCCAGTCAGTCCTTTTAACTGTTGGGTCCTTAGGCAGCTTTGTGTTAGCACAAGTTTTGCTTTTGGCATTCAGCCCTGAGCCGAGTCTTGGCCAGGTCTATTCTGTAAATCTTGATCGCGAGCCCAAACTCCCAAGCGTTTCAGGGCAAAGCATGTCCTGGGCCCTGCATGTCTCTGCAGCAGGAAGCCGCTTCGCTCCAGGCAGTTCCCCGTGACAGAAGGCCCACATGAGTCATAGACAAACACCCCCCCAAAACGCATCAACAGCCCTCAACGAAAAGTGCCCCCCCCCTCGCTTTCGAGAGCTCATTTGCGGGGAAGTCCGGAGCCTCGGACGTGTCGCCATGCGGGAATCCCTGTGCCGAGCAGCCTCCTCCCACCTCGCCCTCCTCTCACCGGAGGAGGAGCGGGTTTGCTGTAGGCATGGGGTATCGGTCGAGAAGAGAGGGGGTTCATGTCCTTAAGAAGTGCCCTTCTGGTGCACTTACAATACCCTCCCAGTGTTCTCACAGTACTCTTCGACTAAATACCCTTATCGCAACTCCTAAGCTCCTGCACGAGTTGGGGACGAATGCCGCCTGCAGAGGCTGTGGAGGAGGCTCTGCCCGTGCTGGTTCTGGCTGCAGAGGCGCAGAGCCATTCCGGGGGTTTAGGGGAACCCAAAGACCTAAGGCTCAGGGTCGCCCAAGCTCTGAGTTTGAGTTTGTCTGTGTGCCACCGTATGTCTCAGAGCTCACAGGCTAAAACGAGCTCCAGCTCTTCAGTTTGTGTTGGTCTAGCGTCCACCATCGAAGGGGCACTGGTTGGGTCCGAAGTTCCCATGCGAGGCCATTGCCGACTGCCTGGCCTTTGGCAACCCCTTGAGGAGGACCAGGCAGATTTTGAGTTGCTGGGTTGGCCTGGATATTTGGGGCTTAGGCCCATGGCTTGAGGCATCAGCCGTCTAGTTGCCCCAAAGCTTCGAACCCCGGACTTTACGACCAATGCCCCCTGAATCTAAATTCTGTAACCCTAAATCCGAAACCGTTTCCAGATCGCTCTGGGGCTCATCGCTCTTCTTTTGGTGATTGCTTGTTGTCACGTGACGAAACCTTCGGCTGACCTTTTGATTCGTTGGAGCATTCATGACTTTATTAATTTGGCTCTTTCTGCCTTGTTCTTCATGGCTTTCCTTATGATGGTTATGACCACCACCGTTACCGTTACAATTACGACAACTGCGACGGCGACGGTGGCGACGACGACGAGGAGGACGACTTACCACTCCCACAACAACAACAACAACTACTACTACTACTACTACTACTACTACTACTCTACTACTACTGCTACTACTACTACTACTACTACTACTACTACTACTACTCTACTACTACTCTACTACTACTCTACTACTACTACTACTACTACTACTACTACTACTACTACTTCTACTACTGCTACTACTACTGCTACTACTACTACTACTACTACTACTACTACTACTTCAACT